GTTGCAGCTCCTTGGAGAGCTTGACCATCCCGGACTCAGTGCACATTGACCCGTCTGCCTTTGAGGGTTGCGACTGTCTCAAGCATCGGCCGATCTGAGTCCGGACGACCTGAGTGACGACCGGCGAAGAGCGAGGTGTTTGAGGCGGCACAGTCTGTCCTGGATCGAGCAGAAGCTACGTATCGTGGGTTACAGGATGTTGCAAGGCCAGATCTGGTTGGTCAAACACCTCCCTTGAGCCTTGCTGATGAGGCCGCCGGTCGCGAACAGGTGAGTCGGTTCTTATAATCTGGAACCCAATTTGAATCATGTGACTTCTGTTTTCATAGGAAAAGATCCCTATTTGGGGTGCTTGGTCCAAAGGTCGCATCACTCAGGTTCTACCGGTATAGCCATCGTGGGTGTTCGCACGAGGTTTTGCATCGGTGTTCGCATCGTGACGAACGGTCGCTCACCTCCCAAGAGAGGTTGAGAGACCTGAACGTTCGGACCCTGGTCTGTGGTACATATGGGACGGGCGACCTTAGGGCTGTGAAAAACCTCCCTTGGGATCCTTCCGTCTCCGTTTCCACCCCGAGTCCAGAAGATTCCCCCCGGATCGCTACGGCGACAAGTCGGAAGCTAGTCTGGACCTTCAAGGGGTTAAGACGGACACCCCGAGTGACAAGAGGGTCCTGGTATAGGTGGTGGTTTCAGATGTGTTGGCCGTTTCAATTTCAACTACAACTGGAAAATCATGGATCATTGATCCTTGATCCCTCTGACGAAGTTTAGTAGGGATTTTACGAATCCCAGACGCGAAGTCTGGACCTTCAAATCGATGGGGTCTGGGACCGAAACAAAAATCCCATCAGATATCCCATCGAGTTTTGAGGTAGCAATAGAAGCTACTATAGGGGCTCCTGGCCTTACTACTAGTAACGATCGGACGCTACGTTGAGGGCTCTTGGCAGCGCAACGAACGGAGCAAGACACTGATGGGACATCTGGACTGCAGCTTTTTCTGGTCATGCGACATCTGGGGCCCAAGGATCACTTCGTTCGGGACTGGGAGGGATGGGGGTAGGTGCCATGTTCCGTCGGGTCCAGTGATACCGAACCGGGTCGGAGGTACGACGTCTGGAGCCCTTTAGGATTGTGGTACGTGTGGTACGCCTGGTATGCCTGAGGAGGGTCCCTCAGCGTGGCGCATCTCGCGGCGACTCGCACCCGGTGGTGGGTCAAGTGACCCACACATCCAAAAATATTGGGTCTTTTCCCTCAAATGAACATACCTTGAGTCTCCAACGACCCTTTGAGCATGGGGGGTCTTTCATTTTTTGTTGTTTTTCTGGAAAGCGAGAGTGTTTTTTGCCAATGAGTACATATCATTATCCCTCTATTTTGCGGGTGAAAAAACCTTATGTCAACCTTCAATGGTTTGTACGGGTGTTTGCTTTGACCACTAGTGTGCAGACGGCTGATATTTGCTTTTCAAATCAACCGCACATTAAGAAAAAAACAGTTTTATGTACACTCTATAAGAATCCTTGGGCTCTCCATGTGAGGGGTCGGACCCGACACCGAAACGCAGGGGTCTGGACCCTGAAAACTCTATGTATTTG